CCCGCCCCGCCCCGCCGTGCCCGTGTGCGCGGGGAGCAGCGCTCCGCTCCGCGGGGCGCCATGGGGCGGGCGGGCCGCCGGCTGCCCACGCTGGCAGCGCTCTTCTACGGGGCGCTGGCGGCCCTGGTGCTGCTGGGCGTGCGGGACGTGATGTTCCTCTACGAGGAGAACCGGTGCAGCATGACCTACATGTACGAGTACCCCGAGTACCTGGTGAGTGCGGCGGGGTGTAACAGGTGGGACCGGCCGCTCCCGGGGCGTTGCCGCCCGCCCCGCCGCGGCCGGAGCCCGAAGCCGGGAGCCTGAGGCGCAGCTCCCCCGGGGAGGGAGAGCAGCCCCGAGCTCGGGGTTCGTGCTGGAGCGGAGAGCGGTAAATGGGGCACGGGCAGCTGGGGCGTGAGCGGGGCCGGGCTGGCAGGAGGCGCTGCGTCGTGTGGCGGTGCCCCTCGGGGCAGGGAGCGGTGGAAGAGCTGCCCACCTGTAACCCTGCGGGGCGTTTAGTGCTGCCACCGTGCAGAACCCGCCCGCGATGGGAGTGCCAGTGCCTGCAGTCCGTGTGGCTCTCTGAAAGCCAGGTGTGGCTCTCTGAAAGCCAGGAGCTCGCACGGGTGTTGGCCGAGGAAGGGGCTGGGCCAGCTCCTGTGCCAGTGCTGGCAGCGCCCAGGAGGCCGAGCCTGGCACTTCATGGCCCTTCTCATGAGTTCGTGGCGTGAGGTGACCAGTGTGTCAGAAAAGCGCAGAGCTGAGCTTTGGCTGGTAGTGTATTTCTCGGGGTGGTGGGCAGTGGTGCAAAGTCTTCTCGGCGAGCACTTTGGAGGTGGCATGTCCCACAACATACATGGGAGAGCTTGCAAATCCCTCTGAGGTCCCTCTTGCTTTGCTAACAGCCTTGTAGAGGTCTCTTTGAAAACCTGGGATCAGTTTGAGAAAGAAGACTGCACCTGGAACTGATGTTTTCCACATGCTATTCTCGCTTAGTAGTGGAAGGATGTAAATGCATATTTTTAAGTTCGCTGCTAATGCTGCAGCACGCAGTTGTTAGAAAACGATTTCTCTTTTTGATAGTAAATACTACAGCATTTTCTCTCTTACTAAAAGCATAATTGGTTGACCTCTGAGCATTCATTTTTCATTATCTGAGATCTAATTTATGTTGGAAAAAATAGTAATTATTCTAAATAACACAGTTCAGAAGTAGGTTGCAAGCTGGCTTGCACAATAAAGATCAAAAGCAAAACTTTAGTGTCTAAATTTGTAATGAAGCAGAAAGTTAATTTTTGTATCTATTAACCTTCATTTCCTAACCTTGATATAGCCATCTTAGCCTATGAAGAGGAACTTGGTATGGCTACAGGGATTGTTTTGTCAGTGCTGTAGAACAAATTTGTGTAAGCAGTTATAAGTACTTAAATACTGCGCAGCAAGTTTTCAGATCTCCTGGCAGCCAGAACCTACTTCAGCTTCAATCTGGAGCCAACCAACAGAAAGTTACTGGCAGAATCCGTGTGTTGTTATTGGCGGGTGCCTGAAACTCTTGTCTGCCACCACATCTTTTGTATTTACTCATTATGTAAGGGCTGAAACTCCAGGCATCTTTAGGCAGGATGCAAGGCTTAAAGGTGAGCTGCAGTTCCATGCAGGAGATGCAAGTCACAGCTGCTGTATTGCCCTCTGGAATTTCTGTTTCCTGTGGAATCGCTTTCACCGTGCAGAAAACAGCACTTTGGGCTGGGGGGCAAACTGTGAATTCGTTTGGGTTTGCTCGGGTATTGTACTTCACAAGTACCTTTTTATTGTTGGAGGTGTCTGGTGTGTGTGTAGTGCTGCCGTCTCTAGGAAGCCCCAGGGTGGGAGTTGCCTGTCCTTGCTTCCGGATTGGTGTCACATTGCAAAACAAATGACTGCTCCAGCAGTTCAACAAGAAGTTTAATTTCTTTTGTGCCCATCAGCGTGGGTTAGCTCACAGTCAGCCTAGTAATCGATCATCTTTTTTCGCATAAGTTTTAGAATTGCAGTGTTTGGATTTACCCTGCCCTTGTCCTGTTCAGCTGTACTTGGCAAGAGATTCAGAAGTTAGTAATGAGGACTTGTTCACATAAACCTAATTTCTTACAGGACGGGGTGAAAAACCAAGCCTGCACTGACATTGTAAAAAGTTGCTGTAGCTTGCTACAACTGATTGCATAAGCAGTGTCTTGGGAATTCAAGTTGAAACCCACTGTCATGGAACATGAATATCTCTTTTCCTTTGGAGTTATACATTGCCATTTTGTTATAATGTTTAAATACTGTGATTTACAAAAAAAAACCCCAACCTCCCAGTATTTTGACAGTACAATTCTCATGGGTTGTGTGGGTTTTTGTGTTTGACAATGCCCCAAGGAAGAAGAGCATGTTAATTTTATGTTCCATAAAAGTTTTTGAAAAGACAATGAACCAGGAGGTTTCTGTGGATGAGCAGTTGATTTGATCTGTCAGGAAGTCATATAAGCGCATCTTGGTGACACTCTTAGTTTAGTAATGGTTTTACTAAAACCTGCTGAAGGTTTTTTCACATAGTTTTGAAAGCCTTTCCAAAAGGAGCAGCAGAAAGGAACAAGAATGGGACAGTGAGGTGAGTGATGCTGGAAAGGCAGGATGTTGAAGAAAGTCAAAAGACCAAAGGATGATCTGAAGATAAGCCCTGAACGAAGCTTAAATTTTCTTGTTCTCAGTGAAATAATTTACCTCATATCTATATTGTGTTAATTAATTAAGATAATTTAAATTCTGTAAATAATGCACACGCATAGATATAGCTCACAGAGATTTTATATATATATATATATAAATTAAAAAATAATAAAAATAGTTTGCAAATAGCCAATACACCAAAAACTTTCAAGGCCAAGGGGGAAAGAAAATAGTCACTAGGTGAGGCAAGATAGACAAGAACAGGGGAAGGGAAGGTGTGTGGGGGCACAGAATTAGAGCTAAATCACCTTTATGGTAGATGCAGCTGAGAGAAAACAATAAATTATTTGAATTAAAGAGGCTTCTATTTCAGGGAAGGAATTAAGAGAGACTTTACAGGAGATTTCTGATACAAAACTGAGTTTAGTCTTGACCTTGTTCTGTAAAAGTGTTTCCTTAAAATACAAATTACTAATACATGTGTCTTTGTATTATCTTATTTTTCTCTCAACTGTTACATAATTGTAACATAGTTAATCAAATATTGGAATGAGTGTATTTGCACTCATAAAAATTTTAAAAATCTGCATCTTAGAATTATAAACTAACCAACCTCTATGCAGGTGTTAAACCAAGATAGTAGTAAACAAGAGCACGTTTAATTAAGACAGTGCCTTATGACTCTTAAGAGATTGACTTACTGGTGTAAGATTAATGCTCACCTAGCCCTTGGGATCAAAGAGATGTTGTTCTTTTCTCTCTGGGGATCCTAATCCCGTGAATCAGAGGTGTGCTAGGTTAGTGGGTTGCTTGTTGTTGGTGAGTGACAGCTGACAGGTACGTTAGACCTTGAGCTGTTCCAGAGCCAGGCGCTTTGTCAGACCGCAAACCCAGCTCTGAAAAGGAAGCAGGAAAAGCCTCAGAGGACCACGGGTTTGTTTTTTCTGCTGAGCTCTGTTGTGGTGGTAACTGCTGTTTAAACTCCCACTGCAGGTGACATCTCTGTAGAGCTCAGCTAGGAGAATTCCCACGAGCTCTGCAGTTTCCCCTGAGGCAGCAGGTGGTACCTGACAGTCACCACATCCCGCTGCTCTCTATCCTTGTGCTGAGATCCATGGCCTGGGGAAGGGTTCCAGAGCCATTCCGGTGCTTCAGGAGTAGTTAGCATCACTCTTGTGCCCCAGTTTCTGGTCTCAGCTTCTCCCCTCCTGGGAGAATTGGTGGGGTTCTGACATGCCTTTATTTTTTTTCCTTTCCCCTACCTGTATTATAAGGCTGGATTTACTTTATGAATGTGCAGCTTTGATAGATACACAATTGCATTCATTTGTAGTTTGTTTCAAAGATAGTTGAAGGTAATCACTGTTTAGAGTAAGTAACTGCCCATTATGCCCAGTAATACTTCCTTAAACAATTTGCTTGATATTCCATTTTTAATTAGTTTTATTTTTTAAAGCCAAACCAGTTTTTCATTCTGCATTCTTTAGACTGTAATTTACAGACACAAAAATAAAACCACGTATGATAGATCATTTAAATGGCTGGATAGCCACTGTATTTTCCTGTTTGTGACTTATAAACAAGGTCTTTGTTTTCTTTTTAACTTTTTCAATAGAAAATAAAACTACCCAAGAAAACAGCCAGACGATACCCAGCATATGAGCTGTATCTCTATGGGGAAGGGAACTATGCTGAAGAAAACAAGCATCTCCTATTGACAGGAATTCCAGTTCTTTTTCTGCCTGGCAATGCTGGCAGTTACAAACAAGGTAAGTGTTTAGCTGACTTATAGCTTTGTTACAAAAAAGCTCTCAGATTTGTGCATTTGGTAGTTTTCTATTTGAAATAATACCAGACAGAGTCATAATGGTTAATCATATTAGTCTGTTTAATTCCAAACAGTCAAGATACATGATTTTTGTTTGAAATCAGTCAAATTGTTAAGCTGTAATATTTCTCTGGAGCAAGCCTTTTGAAAGCCAGAAACAGTACAGTTTATGCTCTGGCAGCACTGCACCCTTGCTGTACTTTTGATTGTAAACATCTAGTTGGTTTTGATTTGAGCAATGTTTAGTGCAGTTAGTGCCAAATAAAACATGACCTGAATTTGATTAGGAGAAACTGAACCATCTGTCATCTGTGAGGTAAAGGAATTGCATGCTATAGAAATCAGCAACACCTGAACTTGTCCTCTAGTTTCATCATTCCCTATATCTTTATATAGTGGTGTTTTTTCCTTAACATTGTCTTCCCACTTTACACATAGCCTCTTTTGTTTCCCCTCTTACATTTCTAGTCTCCAAATGAAAGGCAGTAATCATTTTAAAGCATTTTTATTTTTCTGAATACCAAAGCTAATGGTACATGAGGTTTTGTGTTTCAGTGCTTACTTTGCTTACTGCTATTTCTTCCAGTCTGGGTTTGTCAGACTGTTATTTTTGCTCCCTAAAATTTGAAACAGTAAATAACACTCTCATGATGTTAGAAAATGGATGTGTGTTTGTGGGGGAAATAGCATAGTCTGATCCCTGGTTTCTTACTGTGATAATTTTTCCTTATATTAGCACTAAACTTGATGACTAAATTAGCTGATTTCAAAGAACCTTTCGAGAGCTGGGGTTTTTTGAGAATGTACATGCTTAGCTTACAACAGTGTAAAATATTTTACCAATTAGTACTTTCAGAAAACCCATCGAGACTTCCAGGCACAATAGCATCCAAATAAGATTACAAACATAATGATTTTGATAGGTGCCATATGGACTTTTGTGGTTGTGCATCAAATATTGCAAATCTGTGAGTTAATGCTGTCTCTAAACACACGGCAGTACATCACTATGCAGGAAATAGAATGGTACTGTCAGGGCATTTTAGGGATCAAAAGGAAATATCTGAAGAACAAACTAACTAGGTGAGTAGAAGTACTACATTCTATAGGAAAAGAAATATTTTAGTAATGTTCTTTTTGGAATGGATTTAGGGAGACTGGCAATACGTCATCTGTGCATTTTGGAAAACTTTTGTTAAAATTAATTCATATTAATTCTTACTTTGTTCAGAATTTATTGTGAGATAACACAGTTTTATTCTGATGCCTAGATGAGCAGAGAAGGTGTTGCTATCATGATTTTCATAGTTGTTTAAAATATAGTCATATTTGATAACCAATGAAGACAGGTACTGCTGCTGCTGCCTTTGCTGGTGTTGTTATTTTCATAGACCCATTTAGGCTGGAAAGGACCTTTAACATCATGGAATGCAAGCATCAATCCAGCCAAGCCCATCACTAAGCCACGTGTCTGAGTGCCACATCTACACAGGTTTTAAATGCCTCCAGTGATGGCAACTCCACCACTACCTTGGGCAGCAAGTTCCAATGTCTGACCACCCTTTTGGGGAAGAAACATTTCCTGAGATCCACTGTAAATGTCCCCTGGTGCAACTTGAGGCCATTTCCTCTTGTCCTTTGACTTGAAAGAAGAGGCTCACTCACAACCCACCTTCAGGAGTTTTTGCTGTGTTACAGACATTTTTGAAATATTAATTCATCATCTTTCATGGGCACTAAAGTGAAATTTGTAAAATGTACAAAATTCAGACTTTGAGTAAAAGACAATCTGAGAAGGAGAGTTCTGCTGTTCTCTCAGCATGTACTCTAGGAGAAGCTTGCTCCTGTGTGCTGGCAGACCTTTATGATCATCATTTGTTATTTTATATAGGCACTTTTGAGACTTTCTCTTTTATTTTCTGCTTCTGCTACCATACCTTCTTATTTGCAGCTGTTATTGTTCCCATCCTGCATTGTCTCCATGGAAACTTGGGGACAATTCTGCACACAAAAGGCTGTATTGAATAGTAGCCAGGGTTAGACAGGGAAGACAGGTCAGAAGCAAGACCTTGTAAAGTGAACATCTTCTCACTTGAATTTTAGATGGACAGGTGTCCTTTAGGATTTGGTTTTGCAATCCCCCATACTTATCTTAGTGGTATTTGGGAATGTTGTCATAGAGTTGATGGCCTTCAAGAGGGTTTTAGGAAAGCCTAGCAGTAGGACTGCCTCTACAGTTGGAATTAAGAATGCCTTCTTCTCCTAGTGGCACTAATAAGGTGCAAATGAGATGAGAAAAGCAGCCCTAAGGTGGAGGAACACAATTCTTGTATAAATTTATTCCTGACATAAAATAGCAAATGAGATGAGAAAAGCAGCCCTAAGGTGGAGGAACACAATTCTTGTATAAACATAAAATAACTCTGTTGTCAGCAGTAAGCTGAAAAGAAATGGTTTGGTTTAGAATGTCTTTTATAAATTACTTGAGATGAACAATGGATTTAATGTATTTGTTTCTTATTTGATTATGTGTTGATGTGTATTTGTGCTAAAGTGATGCTAAGCAGTGACTGTGGGGCTGTTCTAATTGCTGTAGTTTCTTTTTCCAGTACGTTCTCTTGGCTCCATTGCACTTAGAAAAGCAGAAGATGTTGACTTCAAGTATCACTTTAATTTCTTCAGTGTCAACTTTAATGAGGAGTTGGTTGCATTGTATGGTGGTAGCTTGCAACGACAGACCAAGTTTGTGCATGAGTGCATAAAAGTAATTCTTAAGTTGTACAAGGTAAGTAGTGACACGTGCTGAGTAATGCATTTCCATTTGGGAATGGAATTCTAGGCTGCCTTTCCTGCTGCAAAACTGAAGAGTGATGAGTAGGGGAAGGAGCCTTTATAATGTGTCTAGATGTTAGAAGTTGATAATAATGCAATAGAGAAGTACTTTTCTTTAATGGATTTTTAGTACTTTTGACAATCCCAGGGCTTTAAGGAGGTTCTGTGTTGTATTTCTAAATAACTACTTTTATGCACAATGGATGCCTTTTTCTAGTTGAGATGTAAACATCTGTAGCTTACTAAAATATTCAGATAGCATTGCCTTACATCAGGTTTTCTCTAGGAAAGTTCTTTGATGTCCTCTGTTCCTAAAAATTTCATAAATTAAAATCAGCTTAAGTTTACTAAGCTTACACAGGCTATACAGTATTTCCTTTTGAGCTGGGTACTTCATATTAAGCACATTTTCATGAGATAGCAAATCAATTTTTATTCAGTTTGTAAGCTTGTTAAGTTGATGCTAATTTATGTTGTCCTTGAAAGACAATAAGTTAATTTGGGCAGGGTGGGGGAAATCTACAGCTAATAAGAATAGTTCAATGTCAAATCTCTTTCTCTGTGATGTGTCTGCTTGCTCCTTGCTGCAGGATCGAGAATTTGCACCGAGCAGTGTAGCAATAGTTGGGCATTCCATGGGTGGTCTTGTTGCAAGAGCATTGCTCACTCTGAAGAATTTTAAGCCTGAACTTATAAACCTGCTCATTACACAAGCCACACCTCACGTTGCACCTGTAATGCCTTTAGACAAATATCTTACTGGTGAGTATTGCATTTGTCTAATCAATCACATGGTATTGCTTTATTGATCCTCTCAAGTTTTGGTGGGGAGATTCTTGCAAATCAACAGCAAAGTGTGCTGCTTTGTTTGCTGTAATGAATCTGTTCCTTTGCTACTCAGGTAGTTGAGAGTGCCAGGTTACTCAGAGAAAGTCAAGTGTGTAGAATGGATTATGGGGACTTGAGTTTCTGTGTGAGGCCTGGAGCTCTCAATGATTTGTAATTTAATAAGTTGCAGGGTATGTTACTAAATTTGTAAGCTTTCCAATGAATTACGTATTTTCTTTCTTTATTTTCTCCTCTTTTGAAACTTGACCTCTGTAATGACTTTTATCTTTATGGAATGAGATAATGTTAGTTCTGTAAAAGGTGATAAATTTAATGTTTTTCATACCCAAAGTGTGCACAACTGAGAATATGAATATAGATGTAATTACTTATTTTAAATATTTACAAAAAAGATCATATTTTCCCTCATCTAAATAAGTGTGGCATAAAAATGAAATGTAATCATTACGCATGTACTATACACTTCCTGAAAAGCTAGATTTCATTAAACCACACTGATTAAATATGTGTTTAGTGATAGTTGTGCTGCTACATGTAGATACTGAGGGAATTGGTGAAGGAAAGGGAACAGACATTAATTTTCATTGTTCTCTGTGACACCCAAGAGGAATGAATTATCTTTAGCTGCTGGATTTGATTTATTGTGCTTGTATTAATTCTCCATCCTACAATTGATTTCAGTGCAATGTTTCTTCCTTACTGACTGTTTCTGGACTTCAAGTAAATCTGTGTCTGTCCTTGAAATAAACCTATGGATTGCTACTCTAACAATATATGTGCTCAGCTGATAAAGAAAATTTATGTCTTCCCTAACTGCTACCTCTTTGGGTTAAAACAATAATTTTCCTCTCTTACATGAATCAAAAGTGATAATCAGAGCTCAAATGTCTCCAACGGGACTTACAGAAACTTTTAACTAATGTTTATATAGCTTTTTTTTTTTTTGTATATCAAATAGGCTTATGGGAAAATGGTGATTGATTTTAATATATTTTATAGATTTTTATACAGCTGTAAACAATCATTGGATTCTAAAGGCCCAAGATTTAAGAAATTTAACTACCCTTTCTGTGGCGGGAGGATTCAGAGATTACCAAGTTCGTTCAGGACTGGCTTTTCTACCAAGATTGAGTCAACATGACAGTGCCTTATCTGTTGTGGTAAAAAAGCAAACTGTTTTTTTTGGTTTTGCATGGAACTGTGTTAGATAGTTATTAATGTAATGCATGTATCAGTGTCTGTATGGGCAGCATAGTGTAAATAAATACGAAAATACTGCATGTTCAAACACTAGATGGATACTGTATGGTTATAAAATCAAAAGTAGTTGTAGTCTAAATGAGCCTCCACTGGAGGGGTATGTGTGGCACTGATTGGAATCATCTATCACTTGGTACTGTTCCTTCTTACCACCTGCTTGCACTTCTTCAGTTCCAGAACTCAGGTTTTATTTCCCCTGTGTTTTTGCAGGTGATGTGTATATGGAGAAAGGTGAAGGTGTAGTATAGAAGTAGAGTGTTCTGTTATAAAAGAGAGCTCTGGCATAGCACCTTCTTTTTATATTTGTTGTTTTTCAAAGGATATAGGAATAGAAAGGATATAGAGGATCATCAAGTCCAGTTTTCTGCTTTTTGAGGCATCTATCCTTTCAAATTTAATCAAGGGTCATCAGAAAGTATTTAGGCTTGTTGTTCTATCCCCTCTCCTTCAACTTGTTCCCTACATGGACAATGGAGAAGCTGGAAAACGCTCACAAGGATGTGGCAAATTTGTAATTTCCAACTTCCATTTAGTGCAGAAGCCAGTTTTTTAATGCCTTTCTTCTGACATCTGCTTAAAATGTTATATGAAATAGCTGTCATTCCCTTGGTGTTTACCTCCCTGTGTGTTGTACAGAAAGCTGCCTATAAATAGGCTCAGCTCAGATCCTGCTAGGCTAAGAGGATTAACTCTGCATTCCCTTTGTCCTAGTAACCCTTCTCTGCATCTGCTCTATTTTCATTTCTCTTGAGTGTTGATAACCAGAATTTTGCATGAGATTTCCTGAGTAGTGGTACCAATTCTTTCTGGTTTTTGTTTGGTTTGTTTTGAAGGTTGTGTTGTGGTTGCTGTTGTTCAGTTTGGTTTTTTTTCTTCCCAATGATGCATTAATAGTTCATAGTTTGATTATATTGAGCAATAGGTTGATGAGCTCCATTTGTGGGAGGTTTTTTTGATAGTGTTAGTCCCTAAAATGTAATACATGAAATCCATTTTAAGCAAGTAATAGCTTCAGGCTGACCAGGTCTTTCTTTGTGGTGTTCTGATGGTTTTGCTGTTGAGGATGCCCTTGGTTTCTCAACAGCAGCTTTTATTGGCATGCTGCTGTTCTCATGTGCCAGGATCAATTATTAAAATAGTAAGATTAGTCATAGGAGCAGTCTTTGAAGAAATTTTTGGTAAGTTTCCTCCTCTCCATTTTCTGCCCTTTCACCATTAGTCTCTGCTACCTAACATAGATAGCTTGGTAATTTTGTTTTATCATTTCCATCTTGCACGTGCTTCAGTGCTTGCAAGATGGGTGACTGAAGAAGTCATTCTGTTGTACCCTAAGTTCTGAAACTTTTAAGATAAAGGCTGTTCTTTTTAATAATATTGCAAATATGTTTTAATAAGGAGGGGGAAATTTCCCATATAGTTTTAGAATGTTGAGTACTAACAAAAGCTTAACGCTTTTCTTCACCCGAACAGAGCTCAGCTGTGCCTCGAGCTTGGGCCTCAACTGACCATCTCTCCATAGTGTGGTAAGATAATGGAACAAAGGTTAATTGACTGACTCTTCTCCACTGTTATCACTTTCTACCATAATTTAACTTCAGTTTAATATTATGGTGAAGTCTCTTCTGACCAGTTTTATCACCCTGGATTTTTCCTTTCTAGATTTAATTTTACTTATTCTGTCTTTTAGGTGCAAGGAACTGATCCTGGCTACCATTAGAGCTTTTTTTGATCTCATAGATGAAAACACAAGGCAGGTCTGTATATTTGATCTCTGTATATCTACCCATCACACTTTCTTCTTCCATCCCAGAATGTTTAATCAGGAGAAATATCTCCCTAGTCTACAGAAAACTCTTTTTTGATTATTCTAAGTCATGCTGAGGAAGTTGTTTCAATTTTGTACCAGTCACTGGAAAATCCCTTTGTGTTGTTTGACCAAAGAGTCAGAAATAAGAAGGGTTTAGCTCAGTTTTCATTATAGACTGCTTGATGCTTTTTAGCTGAGCTGTGGGCTGAACGTTTCTTCCACAAAGCAGCAGGTTCAGTTGACCTTGCACCAGGAGAAACAAATTTTGTTAGATCTGTAGCTGAGAATTTGACTTCTCAATATGTACATAAGAGCAGAGCCCAAGACACAGAAGAGGAAGGATTTTAGTGTTCCTTCTGAGGCTGCTTGGGACAGGCTCCTCTAGTTTTTCATGTGTACTTATTTTAATGTGTGATTTAGAGAGACAAAAAGAGCAGTACAGTTGTTCTGCAGCACTGACTGTGTTAGAGGGTTAAACTTTTCAGAAATCAGTTGTAGTGGCCAGTTTTGGAAGGTGAAATAGATAAAAATTAATCCTGGAAGGCTTATCTGGAAAAAGCAAAACCAAACCGATCAAAAAACCAAAAATCCCAAACAAAATCCCAAACAAAATCCCAAACAAAAGTGAATCCTAGTGAGGCTATACAGCTGGATATGAGAACTCAGATCAGCCTGAATGTGAGAATTTTTCTTAAGCTCTGGCCTAAGTGTCATTTCAGGAAGGATGCATGTGTGTCTATAAAGAAAGTTTAATGGAATGCTTTCCTGGGGTTATGAGTAGGTGAGACTGTAAAACTCCTGAAAGTTTTGGCTGTGCTTTATAATGTGTAGATTTTCTGTATTGCAGTGATTGACTATTGTTGGCACTTCAGAGCATTGAATTCAGAACAGAAAGGGCTCAATGTCTTCTAACAATCTCTCCTGCCTTCCCCCCACAAAACTGTATTGCTAGCTGTGATCATGAGATGATCTTAAATCACACACATTGGTAAAAAAAATGATAATCTGCTCTTGTTTTAGATAACTGAGGATCCAAAGAAAAGAATGTCTGTACTGAATCACCACTTTGTGAGACACCCTGCAAAGATGTTTGAGGAAAATCCTGAAGCTTTTACACACCTCACAGGTGAGCAGCAGTTTTCTTTTGAATAGGATTCAGTGATACTGCTTTGTTAATGGTTAATCTTCTCACTAACAAAGTTTCAGAATGCACTTTGTCCTCCTTCAGACAAACTAAAACAACAGGTTATAGGCCTGAGCAATCTGCTTTTATTTGGTTTTGGTATTAAATTGGTTAACAAGGGTGGGTGCAAAAATCTGTCACTTCTATATAGCTCAGATTCTGAGGACTCATATTTACACCAGGTTGTCCAGCAGAAAATCTCAGAAACTGGGAATTGCTGGATGTCAAAAGGGCAGTCTTATCTACAGTGGTTGCAGGAGGGGTTGGATGGGTGTTGCAGAGCCATTGTGGTGGTTTTGTGCTGCTCATGGAAATCCTGAATATTCAGATCTGCTCCATCAGACTTCTTCCCATGACATGGCAGGGTGAAATGAACAGTTCACCAAGGGTTTCCTTGTAAAGTTTCTTCCTAAGGATACAGAGTTTAAAGTGGGAGATGTTGACTGCATGGGGTCTTAAGGACTAAACTTGTAGGGCAAAGCTTTATTTTGCTGAAGTGGGCTGAACTGTTTCACAAACCATTTTATTTCAGGAATATTCTGAGTGTAAGACATTGTAGAAGTACCAATGTAGCTTGTACTTTGGTGTCAGTTTTGGGCACCCTCTTACATGAAAGCATTTATGCATTGGCATCTCCTGAAATGAGTGTGGAGCAAAAGAGCACCAAAATGGGCAGTTCCTGGGGCACAGGAAATGGGGAAAGAGGCTGAGTGAACGGAGGATTTTCACCCTGAAGAAAATGCTGAGGGGGATCATGTTGCTGTTTTTAACTACCTAATGAAGAATTGGAGAGAAGATGAAGTTAGATTTTTTTTCAGAGCTTTACAATGATAGCACAATTGGCAGTAGAAATCGTGTTGTAACAAATGATATTCTAATTAAGTGTTAGGAAAAAATATTTCACCAGGAAGGTGGTCAAACACTAGAACAGGTGCCCAGAGAGGTTGTGAAACTGATGTTTTGGGAGGGTTGCCTTTTTTTTGGGTCAGTTTTTAGCAATAAGAAAAAATGGTTTAAATTGGATTTCATGTTTCTGTCTTCCTATTCGTGGTGACCTCTTGACATTTAGCATTTTTTACTCTCCTTAAATAGAAGAAAGATACAACATCTTTGCATGACAATTGGCATGTTTGTACTCTGATCTCTTCATCGTTGTCTTACTCTTTTTCCCTAGCCATATCTTTAAACTGCTCCTGGTTTTCTTGTGTGTTGTTGCTGATGTTCTTCTGCACAAGTTTCTGTATTAGCTTTCTAAAAGGGTGACAGAAACAAAGATTGGGGCTGTTCCTAGTGTTGCATCATTATTAATCACTCACCCTATAATTACACAAATATAAGTTGGTTTATTTGTTTTGTTGCCTTTTTGTTTCAAGATCCATGGGGTTTTTATTTTGCCATTAGTGTTTAGTAACAGGATCCTAGGACTTTGTTTCCTGTGGAACTGATGTTAACTGTTGCATGTAATTGTAAGCAGGAGCAATCCTCAGTGTTGATTAAAGCACATAAGGTTTATATCCATATATAGATAGGAGATAAGACCTTGGTGATCAGTAAAATACAAGATTTTGGATGTAAGGGTAATTGTTCCTGCAGTGCAGCATACTGAAATATTTATTTTTAGGAGCTTTCAATTGGATTACAGTCAAAGCCTCAAAATGGACTTACTCAGTTTACAATGTAAGTAATATTTTTCCCCATTGTGTGTTTATGTTTTGGTTGTTTTGTTGGGGGGGTTGTGTTGTTTATTTTTTTACTAATGAGTTTGTTTGGTTTTTTTTAGGATTCTGATGGAAAATATTTTGCATTTCCTCTTGCAAGCCACAGAAAATCATACAGTCATGTTTACTGTGAAAATAGTATGTTGGTGAGAAAATACTTTTTTAATGTCTGGAGTTCGTTTATAAAGATGTGATTTTTAATTTCCATTTGCTGCAGTCTTTAGACAGTTAATGAGCAGCTGTGGAAATTGCTGCCATCCATTTACAGTCACAGCCTAATGCATGTCAGAGGTACTACCTGTTTTAGCATGCCACATTTAGTATTCAGGGTCTGAAACCGTCAGTGCCACCTGAGCCTCAAATGTTTTTTTTCTGGCTCTTCTGGTTAGCTCTAGATTACTGTGTCCTTTCATTTAGTGCAGTCCTCTATTGATGGTTTTGAAGGAAGAAGTTGTTTTTAGTGCTGCTGTGTTTTTGCCATACTTCTAATTTGGGAAAGCTGTTTATAGGTTTGCTTTCCCATAATAAAATATAAGTGAGCCTGAAAGGCTGCAGAGATCTTTCACTAAGGAGAGAAAGTGAATGGAAGCCAGCACCATCTCAGTTGTCTCCTGTGAAAAGGAAACACCATAATGTGCATTTCTTGTATTTTTAGCTTGAGACATACATTGAGCCAAATTTTTTTTTTCATTTTTTTATACAAGAATGAATTTAATCTCTTGGCAAACTGAAGATGGATAAATACACTTTTCAGAATCATGTATTTTATATTAGTGGCAAAAAAATTGAGATGCTTTCCTGTTTCATCCTGCCTGTCCCTGTTGCCACTCCTCCCCTTGCCAAAGATGCCATTCATACCACCATTGTGCACAACAATGTCTGTGCTTGGTGCTTTTGTAATTGTCCCTCTCAGTGGCACCTTCGGTGTCTGCATGTATGTTGTGATCTCAGCTGTGCTTTGATGGGATACCTTTTGCCCTTGCTGTAATGTCTGAAACACAAGCTCAGTACAGCTTGAGAGGAGCAGGGAGGTACAGACCACATGTCTGAGAGCTGCACCATGGTGCTGTTGCTTCCAGAACACTTCAATTCTCAAGGGGCAGAGCAGTAGAACATTAAATATGCAAAGTATTCCTCTACTGCCTAGAAGAGTGCCTTGAGGTGTTTCTTTCAATTAAAAGAGATAAACATGATATGTAAGATGGATATTTTTAAAAGAGAATTTATGAAAGCTTGTTTGCTTAACTTTGTATTTATTCCTATAAAGGGTGACAAATTGAAGTTGTTTAAAATGGTTCCTAGAAACCCCCACCATTCACTCTAAAGCTTCACCTTTCTGTCCTTGCAATTATAATTGCAAGGTTATGATATCAGTCCTTTAATTATCATCAGTTTTAACCCTTGCATTGTTTGAAGTAATCAGTATTTTTAATAGATTTATAAATGGAATCACACCTAGGTAATGTAGTATTTTATGGTATTGACTTTACAGGACACAAGTAGCTGGATTTATGGCTGCATGAACACTAATTCATCAATGTGGTGAGTATGAACAATTCCTGTTCTTTATTCAAATGGCTTTTGTGAGACTGTGTTTGAATTTAAAGTGTATAAATTATCCTTGGTAGGAAGGGATTGGGAAGTAAAATCGTTACTATAAATAATTCATGCTTTCTATATCACCAGGAAAACAGGGAAGAATAGCTTTTCTTAAAATAAATTATATTCTTCTCCAGGGAGCTGCATTTTTGACCTTCATAACAAGAGCTGGAGAGGGACCTTTCACAAGAGCAGGAGGTGGCAGAGCAAGGAGTAGTGGCTTTAAACTGGCAGGGCAGGTTTAGGTGGATATTGGGGAGCAGTGGTTACTGTAAGTGTGGTGGGGCATTGGAGCAGCTCCTCCACAGAGGCTGTGCATGCCCCATCCCTGGAGATGTTCCTGTGAGGGTGGTGGGGCATTGGAGCAGCTCCTCCACAGAGGCTGTGCCTGTCCCGTCCTTGGAGATGTCCCAGGCCAGGCTGGATGAGGCCCTGAGTAACCTGGTCTAGTAGAGAGCGTCCCTGTCCACAGCAGAGCTGTTGGAACTAGATGGTTTTTGATGTCCTTTTCAACCCAAAGCACTCTGTCATGCTGTTTCTTTAGAATCCTGTGACAAAAGACATCAAATGTCCACAGAACCTTCAAATTAGTGGATTAAAGCATCTCTTTCTTTTTTACTTCAAATTTGCTACTGGCATATGAAAAGTATTTAGAAGGGTGCATGGTTTAGTGGTTATTTGTTATGACAGTCATTACACAATAGATTTAAAACATTGTCTTAGATTAAATTTGTAAAATAAACTCAAATTCAAGCTACCCTTCAAATTAGGGAAAGCTTCCAGGCAAAATTGAACTAGCGGAGTTTTTATCTGTTCTGGGATCACTGAGGTGTACAGGCAGAGTCTTGCCTCCAGCAGATAGCCAAATGTCACAATTACTTTTTCCTGATCCAGGAAGTTGGCTGTTACTCCTTTGTAGAACCTTTGATCAGCATGAAGTGCATTACTAGTTCAGGACTGCTACTTAAACCTCATCTAACAATAGTGGATTGGCTGTGAACTGTGTCCTAAGGTCATGAACACTATTTAGAGAATCAGCAGTATTCTGGTATTCAGATAATCAAAACCTGAAGTGACCAAATGGATGTGTTGCAGTTCAGTGTGTGAACACATTTTAGAACTGCTGCAAAGTCTTTAACAGCTAACAAAATTTTTATTTGTATATCTATTCTAGATATTTCCATAGGAAAATTAGTGCTTTTGATGTATAACAGATGCTAATAAAAGTGCATGATAATTCAATGCTAGTGCAGTTTTAGCTCATGAAAAGTTTTCATTTTGTGTCTGAGCTGCCTGGTGAATATGTGCTGCAGGTTTTCTGTATGAGAGAGTTGGAGCTTTGCTTGGCTTGGTTTTGCACAAATAAGATTTGCACTATCTGAAATTACTGCAGTTTGATAAATTACTGTGTAGCAGTACACCCAAATTTCTTCCCAATTTAAAATGTTAATTCAGAGAGAGGGAGAAGCTGGTATATTAATCCAGTGCCATAATGCTGGCCCTGCATAATGAATATGCTGATCCTTTAATGTGCATGAATTTTTACAGCCTGGAAGCTGCTGATTTATCCTGGAGAGCTGAGTTACTTCCAACCACCAAGGTAAGTGTGAGCCTGACTTTAGGAGGGAGGGGTGCTTTAGGGGGTGCTTGCAAGTCATAGAGGAATGAGCTGTTCTGTTTGGAGCATTGGAAGAGGGTCCAAGGGGTAGACAACTAGGAACTGGCAAGGGGCAAGCTAAGGGGTATGTTCAGTAATGGTTTGCTACTTCCTTCTCTCTTTTTCTTTATTCCTTTCTTTTTAAGGTTGTGATGCTGAAACTTCTGGACTATCCTTCTTTGTCCCACATTGTCATTCAGGTACCACCTGCAGTTGGCAATAAGGTAAAAAAATATGATATTCAGAAATTGCTTGCTTAGGGCATTCATAACTTTCAGGTGCTATGACAGGAGGAAAAGGAAGTATATTTAATAATGTGCTAAGTTACTTTGAGAAACTATAGACCCACAGTGTAGTGTGGTTTAAAGTAGCTTCTGTAAGCTGAGAAACACTTTGATAAAATACCAAACAATAAGGCATGAACAGCACTTGAAATATGTACAAAGACACAGTTCTCAAATCAGTTCTTAGAGTTCTTGTTGGAGATTCTGATGGTAATCTTCCTTGCTTTTCTTAATACTCTGATTGTTTTCCTGAATGTTCATACCTTTGAACAGTCATTTCTCTTACCCAGGTTAGCAGGGAATACAGATAATTGAAGGCACCACACCTGGATTCTGGGAAGCATAGGCCAGATAGCTCTGCAAGCTCTTCAACCACAAATGATGTAGTAGACTGACTTGTGCAGAGTTTAACAGTTTGTGTCTCACAAATGAGATAAATATCTTTGCATCAAAGCTCTCAGGATCCCAGTAAGAGGACATTTGAAGGCTTAGTGTGTTACCCATCTGGATCTGGCAGACCTTTCCAGTTAGCCCTGGAAATGGCAGAGTACTGAATTGGAATTTCCAGCCTAATCAGATCTGACATTGCTTTCTGTGACACAAATAGAGTCTGTGGTATATTAATCCATGATCCAAGAAATTATTCACAGCACAAGTGAGTGTGATGTTCTTCTCTGAGTGTATCTTCAGATAGTTGTGACAGAGGCATCTTGCAGTGAAACTAGTAATGCACAATTTTCAGGGTAAGCAAAGATAGAGGAGAGATCACTTGGGAAGTGTAATTTGGCAAGTACAAAGGCTTTCTAGTCTTGGCTTTGGTTTAAATCTGTTTTTAATATCCTCAATTGCAGTATACTTTGGGCTGTGAATTCTTCACAGAGGATTCCAGAACAGTCCAGCTCCCTGTAACACATCTTTTTTCATTTGGTAAGTATAGCATATTGCTTTTGGAAAAAATGGAAAACATATAACTAACCTTTGAATAATAAATTTGCCTAAAAATGTCAGGTCAGGAGGTTTTTGGGCTTGTTTTTCACTAAAGCTAATACTGCTTTTGTTGGTAACAAAGAAATAAGAATTGTCTAATATCTTAGACTTACAGATATGAAAGTATGTAATTCCCCTGGAAAAGAATCTCAATATGTAGAGAGTTCTCAGATAATTTTATCTAATAAGTGAAAATGTTGTATCCTTTCCAGGGTTTTCTTCAAGCAAAATTCTGTTAAATTCAACTGGATTATTTTACAATGTACAGCTCCAGCACTTCAACCAAGTAAGAATGCAACTTAAGTTTTTAAGGTAATGTAACCACTGCTTGTCTGGAGAAAAGTGAGTGAATTCTATTTTTTTGTGTTCTAGATATATCAAGCTTTCAAAATTTATATAGACAGTCACTGCCAGTCACTCAAAGGTAAATATAAGTCTTACTAAAGTATAAATTTATTTTAAAAATTGTTGAAAATTTGTAGAAATGAAAGTCTTCTCATGCAGTGGAGTTTAGGCAATGCTGCTATGGTCTGTTCAAATGTGTCTGCTAATATCTCTCACTTCTCTAAAAAGGATGGATCAATGGAAATGAGGAATCAGTCTTTTAATGTTTGTTTTTCTTATTTTCCAGCAAAGGGAAGTTGAATTTTCATTAGGATTCTGCCTTATATTGAAAATGTTTCTTGAGAAAAGCCCATTTGCCTAGGATTTTTATTTGCTAATAACAGGACTCAAATTTGAATGTTGAGCTACATAAGCTTAAACAGGATGGGTTGCTAAAGGACCCTGTTTCAAAAAAAAAGAAAGTGATGAATTTTATTAGACTGAGGTTTTGTTTCATATTGAAAAGCAGAACTCTTCTCATTACTGTTCTTCCTTTAAACATTGATGTCTCACTGTCTTGTCCTGTAACAGCCTGAGTTTAACCATGTAATTTTTGTTTGCTGCTAACTGCTCTGATCTGCATTGCAATGTAACTGCAAGCCCAGAGATTCTATCTAGTGATCTGTGTGCCACCTTTGTTTTACTGACCCTGTAGTTTTTAGAGACAGTTGCCACATCTGGTTCTTAGTTAAGTTTATATTTTGTAATGCTGTTCCATTTCAGAAAGAAAACCAAGTGTTTACAGACTTCATATTCCCTGGTCATATGAAGACTCAATAACTGTAGCGAAGTAAGGACTTGAACAATTAATAACTTCTTGATATGTTTTTTGAAGAATATTTGCATACTGTTATGGTAATATTTCTGATATGAGACAGTTTCTCCAGTCTTAAGTGTTTGGCTTCTGCATTTTTTGCTCATTTACCTTTCTGACCTTGTGGACAAAGTTGTTTTGACTGTTCCTAGAATAAGAATACCTACTAATTGGTTGCTTAATGGTTCTCACTAATATTCTTGTGAAAGAAGTCAGATATTCTGGTCTGGAATTCTGAGGATAATCATTGCCCTTCTCATCAGAGGAGAACAATGGCTGCTCTGGATGCTGGCTTCCCCCTGGAAGCTGGGGTTTGGATTGCACAGCAGCCCTATGTTTGTCAAGCCTAGTCTTGACAAAATCAAATGATACAGCTTGAAATATATTTGTCACTTATGAAGTTGAACAACATTGACAGTCTTTTAGATGGTAGAAAAACTGTATTTATAGTTTATTTTAGGAGGCTTAAGGATACCTCACAATTTCCAGCTCCCTATGTTTTCCAGCAGCATAATACTTGCAGGAAACTGAATTGTGTTCTTGAGGATATGTTCTTTCCCTTCCTGGCACTCAGCATATTTGCATGCTCTGTGAGGCAGTGTGTTCACTGAACTTGTCTGCTTTCCTTAGTTCCATGTCCAGGATAGTTCAGAGGAGAGGGAATTGAGGATTTTATGTAGCTCTTTGTGACAGGATCAACAAGTTCCTTACACCATTTTGCTCACAGCTTGAGGTGCCACTTGGTGTGGTAGATGTGCTTTATGTGCACTTGTTGAAGACTGAGACACGTTTGGTTTTCCTGCTTGGTCATAAGGACAGCAGTGACCATGTAAGTTGCTGTTTCAGAGTTCCATCTCTTGCTGAGATTTCTGCCAAACTGCACGTGGCTCAGCCTCACGGTGACAGCAGCCTTCCAGAGTTAAACATCTACTCTTCCCCAGACTGTCAGTATGAAGTGAGTAAAACAGTTTTATTTTACAGCTAGTTGGCATTGCTGGATGATTTTTGTGTAATTCAGTCTTCTAAACCATAGCTAATTAACCTAAGTAAATACTAAGTGTATCTAAAGGTGGGCTGTTTGGCCTTTTGGACATGTAGGGTGTTTTACAAGTATTTGCAATAGCTGGGTTAGTACTGCAAGTTGGATTCTAAAACTTTAAAGCATTTGCTTTTAATTGTCAATTCTAAGGTGTTATAAATTTTAGTTGTAGGATTGTTGTATTCTAGAACATAAGTTTGCTTGTTAAAAATTAGAGTATTTTGTACTTATGCTTACCATTGTATGAAACAATATATTTTTTTTCAAGGTAATTCTGAAGACATCACTTCTACAGGTCCTTGGCCAAGTAAGAAAACCTAATACTAAATTGGTTTTTTTATCTCAGTAGCATCTATAGAAATTTTTACATCCTCCCTTCCTTACTGTGGCACTTCAGATTCCTTCTTAATGCCAAGAGGAGCACTATTCAGTGATCATTTTGCAGCCTTTCCCTTGGCAAGGATCCCTCCCAGATGAATGTCAGGCCCCTGTCCTTAGAGGAGCAGAAAAGCTCTCTAGCTCTAAAGAGCTGCTGTAAATGTGGAGTATGTGGCTTTGTGGTAAGCTCAATATCTGTAGGTCACTTTAACTTTCTTGCCTGATGAGTCAGTGGTGTTAAAACTTTCAAATACATTTGGCATCAATTAAGTTGGGGGAAAAAGTCTAAGCAGGTCCATATGCTCCTTTTGAACAAATCTTCTTTGGTTATCAATGAAGAATACATATCGACGTGGGGATCAGTAAAAATAGACTGGCCATCTGCACTTCTCTGCATCTAAAGAGTAATTAATTTGCAAGCACCTAAGTGTAGTGCTGGAATAAAACTGGCAAGATTCTCTATGTGAATGTATACATTTAGAGTAAGGATTTTTCATTTTGTTGTTATTTTATGAGAATTTATAGGCTATTGGTATATTAATAATGACTTGAGATAGTGGAGGCCAATTAATACATGCATATAATTCCTTCCAAAAGTTCTTTGCCTAAAAGCATATATAACTATATGCAGATTTTGCTTGGAAAGTGGCCTTTAAATTGTTTTAAACTTACTTTACTGAAATCTGATACTTGATTTTTTTCATACTTGTCTTGACTGGAAGAAAACCCCCATTTGTTTCTAATTTGATCGTTTATCCAAACCTATTTCATTAGCTGCTTATGAGAGATTCAAGTCTTTTCCATCTATAACATTAATTGCTATTGGACATTATTAAATATGCATTAAAATGAGAAACTGGATCTTCTAAGAATGATAATAAGAAAATCTTTCTGGCTTCATGATAACATTTGTGTATGTGTTTTTTGAATGTATTTTTATAAATAGAAGTGAAGTTATCCCTTCTTCCTTGTCTTTCAGATAGTAAGATTCCATGCTGGTGCTTTTCCAGTCTATATTGTTTCTAATATTCTTCTTACTTATGGAGGACAACTGAGCACACTAAGATCAACAGGTAGCTTTCTAAAAATCTGTATATTTTTCTCTGTCACAAGTGTTTTTAGAGAAATTGCTTATTGAGTTTAGTGATGAAAGATTAGCTAGATGTGAATTTTTCAAGCTAAACCTCATTCAGCTTGTGGAAATACTTGGATCTTTGTTCTACTTTTTTATTTTTTCTTAGCTGGTAGTTCTTCAAGGTTGTGTTGTAGCAAAATATTTCTTTACTATTTTAAATTCCAGTCTCTCTCTGAAATATCGGTGTTGCACAGTAGGTTAGAATTACCAGAAGTCTACTTAAAAATACGTGTAAAAGTTTAAAATACACTGTTAATGTGCAGAAAACACTGTTTCTTGCAGGAAGATGAGATTTGCTTTGTTATGCTGTCATGTCTTCAGACAAAATGCATTTTTATTAAAATTCGGGGGGTGTTTGTAGCAAACTCCACAATGTCTCTAGAAGCTCCTGTGCCTTATTACCTTAATGTGGGTGACCCATGGAGAAGGGCCTTGGTGGTAAAATATGCAGCCTTGCAGTACTCTTACAAGACCTAGTTATCTTGTTTTTAACTCAGCTCACCATTGTCTGAATTTTTGTTTTGTTGTGGATGATGTTTGTTGAAGTTCATGACATGGCAGTAACTACAGATGCTCTCTGTTCTTGATCCTAGGCCAGTGTTCAGACTTCTCCCTCGAGCTAGTTAGGACAGCAAAGCCCTACAAAGTAGAACCTCTTATAAGCATTGTTGTGTTTCTGCAGGGGTGAGTTTGCATCATTTATTTGTTTAAAACAGTTTCCAAAACAGAAATTTCAGTAAAACTGTTGCTAGGGAGGAATATTATTTTATCTGTAGTCACTGTAAACACCTGACTGTTATTTTGCTTGTAAGACTGTAATAGAAGGAATAGTTGATAGATATCTAAATGTAAGAGCAATTGGAAGTGATAAATAATACTGCTTTCATGTTTTTGGCAGGTTTAACTGGTTTAGAGAGATATGGGAATCACTGTCACTACCAGAGGTGGATGCTGCTGTACTGAGTAGTCAGGATGCATGGTTCCCCCTTGTGTCCCTGATTCTATTTCTTTTTGGGACAGGCATTGCCTACTGGAGTGGAGTATTTTTCTCTACATCTCTGAGACTCTTCTCTTCATTATGGTTAACTCTGATTAGGTAAAACAATGTGATACTATATAATTATGCTCTTCTAGATGACTTTGACCCTGACAATTGTTTTTTTGTTTGTTTGCTTTTGTATGAATGCTTGGCCAAGATTGAATTCTGGGCAGATTGAATTTACACATTATTTTAGACATCTGGGTTTGAAAGCAAGCAGAAATTGATGTCCGAGAAGAAGTACAACAGGAGTTTTGTTTCTGATTTTTTCTTTTTTCTTAGACCTACTGAACTTCAGAAAGATGATAAGTTGATTACACCCAGCAGACTCTGTGGGATGATATCTCTTGCTTTGGTTAGCTGGACCACTTGTGGTGCATTTGCTGTGCTCATTATTTATCTTCAATACTTGTTCAAGGTACTAAAAGGCTAAACATTTTGTATTTATAACTGAATTGAAAATTTTAGGTGCTTTGAATTAACCACAGGTTAAAAGCAAAAATCCAGATTACCCTTTTTCACACATAAAAGAAATGTTATTATTCTCATACTTTAAATAGGTATTTCTAATTTCTCACTGTCATAATCTTATAATCTGTAGAATTTTTCTTCTTCTTTTGTTTATGCTTCTTAGAAAGAAACGTGTGGTCCCACGTGCCCACTACAACAATGCAGATAATTGAGAATTTTAACTTATAGCTAGGCAATATTATACAAACAAAGACTAATACCTCCCTTGAAGAGTAGGGAGTCCTCAGTTTCTTTTCCTGTACTACAGCTTTTGTGTGAAGAATCCTTACTAAACAAGCAACTGCTTGTCTTACAGGTGGTAAAACTGCATGTAACTGTAAGAGCAGAGCAAAACAGGCACAACAGGGTGAGTCTGTTTCCTGCTTCTGTTCCAAACTCTGGCCAAAAATTGTCTGGCAAACTTCTGCCTTGGTACTCTCAGGTTGTGCTGCAGTGACTGGGTAGCTGTAGTTCCCTTGCTGCATGTGTGATGTGAAAGAGCATCCAGGCCATGAGCAGCCTGCTCCATCACACATGACTGCTGTTTGAAGTTTCTGCAATGTGAACTTGTCATCTAAGAAGAAAACTCTGTCTCTGAAGGCACTGATTAACATGGTTTATCTAAATTTAGGTATTTGATTATGCATGGCTTATCTCAAAAAAAAAAAGAATTCTAGGTAATAATCTATACTGCAGGTAAAACTGCTTTTTCTAGAGAGGCAGCATGTGGACATCAAGGTATTTTAGTCCAGAGATGACAAATAGGATGTATTAGATGAATATGGACTGAGGTTGCAGCAGTGTCAACTTTATTTTCTGGATTACTTTAAGGTATAGGATCAAAGATGTAAGCAGGTGTGGATAACAGCATATGATAACTACCTGCTGTTCTTTGCAAACATAGAACAAAGGCTGACACAAAGTTGTTGAAAGTTTTCTTTGGGTTTCTTCAAGTGGATTTTTCATGTTTAGTTGAAAATCCTTTCCTTTCATCTCTATATAATATTTTGTTTCATTTGTGAGGGTTTTTTCTGTCACTGGAAATTAGTATCTGTCAACTCATTCGTTTATCTTTGCTATTTATTCCTACAGGTAATATTTTACTCCCAGTTGCATTACTTCCTATATCTTTCCTGTGAATGATCATCTGTGATTTTTCACCCCCATGCTTTATTACTCCTTTTATTTTGTTCTTCCCCCTTCCAGGAATTGCTTTTCATTTCATTGGTGTCAGGACATTTACAGTTTCCATTCTTTTCTTCCACAGACATATAAACTATGAGTGTATGAGAAATTTCTGGTTAAATTTAGATACTTTAAAATTGAACTTTACTCTTGGTGGCTTTTTGAGGCATAAATTGCAGATTTTCTTCCTAAATCTCAGCTGGTGTAATACTGTTAGGATATTTTTCCCCTCCTCTTTCCTCAGCATGGGTTCTTACGAGCCTGTGCATGTTTGTGTGACTTCTATCTTTCATTTCCAGGATTCAGGCCACTCAAAAGAAACTTCACAGAACTCTAGTACACACACAGTCAAAGCCCAGAGTTCAGTGGACAGCATTCCAGAAGCAACACAGTCTCCTTCCAACAGTAAAACACTTGCTGAAGCTGTTAACAGTCTTAAGATGCACATTACAGTCCTCAATTTATTCACGTGGATTGTGCTGCTCAACTTGCCATCTTTAATTTATTGGTTAAAAAATCTCAGGTAAATTCTTAAGTTGACACTAAGGTGGAAGAAAGTTATAGAAACCTTTGAAGATAATAAAAATTATAAGTGTTTGATTCTTTATATTATTAGTTACCTTACAGTTTTAAAGACTTCTGTTAATTATTACTGTTTTCTCTATCCTTTCTGGTTTGCATTGTGGTGTAAATAATAGGTGTTAAGTAAATCAGTGATATGTTGAAGAAAATAATGTTTCAGAAGGGGTATGAAATCAGGCTGGGATGCCATATAGATTTCATGTATATTTTTTGTCATCAGCACATGGATATTGTTTGGCAGCCTAGTTTAGAAGTGATGTGCTTTTTAAACCATTTCTTTGCAGGTACAATGTTAGACTTGATCCTGATCCCTGCAGATCCACAGCTATTATCCTCGTATGCATCTTAGAAATTCTAATGAATTCAAGTACTTCTGAAGTGAAATCAAGGTACTGTAACCCAATCTTGAGTTTTGCTTTTCTGCTTCTCTGTGAATTACCATTTGTATGGTAAAACTTAATTTATGTTGTAATTGTTCAGCCTCTACAGAGATTCATGAACTCACATGGTTAAGTCTAAAAGATGAACTAAAATGTGTGCAAAATACCTCTAGTTCAGCTAGGAGGAAAAAATCCCTTGTATTTGCCACATGGAAATAAATGAAGTATGTGCTCTCTAAGCAATGGGCTGCATAACAACTTCTTGAAATGTGACTTTTTCACTCACAATTCATTGAATTCTTTCAAGTGTCACAGAATCTACATACATTGAGCAATTATTGTCAGACAGTTAGAAGGAAAAGGGAATTCTACAGCACTATAGTTATGTTCCTGCAGCTCCCTTGTGGGAGAGGAAATGTACTGTTTTCTCTAGTGGATTAAGAAGTTCTGAGAGCCTGGTTCTGCTGACAGAATATTTCTTGTGGAGATATGGAATTAGTCAGAGCCTCATGAATGACAATCAATAATAAGAAATGTCATTTATCCTCTTGACCAGTACCTGTTATCTCAAGTGATCGAAACCACTGTCTTCCTGTGTTACAGAGAACAAATTTCTAAATTAATATTTTTAGTGACATTAACCTTTTTTAATAATTTCTCTTGCTTATGCATCAATTTTTATGGCGTATTAGACTAGTTGCTCAGTTTTAAAGATAAACAAAGCCTTGAAGTAGAAAGTATTTTGCAAAGGAAAATGAAATATGACATTTGCATACTTTCTGCATATGTGGCTACAAAATTATAATTTTTCTTCTCTCTATTCTTACAGTAAGCTCTTGAAGATTGCAGCCAAAGTTCCACTCCCTTTGTCTGTTGCAATGCTGGCCTTTGGACGAATACATTTATACAGAGTCCCACACTTTGTAACCTTTTCTCTTCTTCTACATGTGCTGTGCTGTTTTGTGTAATGTTCATTCTATATAGGACAATGCACCCTAGAAACTTAACACTGGAGATGGGAAAAATTGCAACACAGAAATGCCTAAACTAATATGATCAGTAGTTTACATTACATGGGAAAGAGGACAGAACTGTGAATACTTTACAGAAAATTCATGGTTTTATTCATGTTGCTTAGAAAACTTTTCCTGGTGTTTATTTCATGTCTCTGAAAATGGAGTGACTTAACTGTGTACAAGCACATGACTCATATCAGTGCAACATCTCAATACTCTGCCTTGTAGACACTTTGGTGTTTCACTGTACTGCTTGTGAAAACAGACCTTTTTTACTCACTGTGCCATGCAGTGTCTGTGTTCTGAACTTGCATCTCTTGCAGGTCTAAAGTATGCTGGTTAAAACTCAATACATTTCAAGCACACTGTGACTATCACAAAAACCACACAGCCAAGTATACTTTGAATTATTTTATGTTATATCCAAAAGCTGCCACATTTGTGTCTAGACAAACTAGAATGTACTGCTTATATAGAACTGTTATTTCTATCAAATCATTTGTTCAATCAGTGTGAGTTGAACATTTGTGAGATTATTGCAAGTCTTACACATTTTACTTTTTGTGAGAGTGAGAAGACAACAGTATTCTATGTAGCTTTCTATTCAGGAAGGATACCAGCAGATTCATAAACAATTTGCTGTAATGTTGTTTTAAAACATTGTCAGTTTTCTCTGGAATCTTGAAATTAATCCTTGGACTTTGTCCATATGTAGAAGCTAGCAAACGCTGAGATATGGTGTGAGTTAACAGTGCATTTGCTGCACTCTTTCTATGTAGACAAGGCAGGCTTTTTTCCTATTGTAAACAGAGGAAATTTATTTATCCTAATAAATGCCAATACATAAAATTAATATGGAATAGTTACAACCCTGCAAGCTTCTGTCCTGCCATACAGTGCTAACTTCTGCATGTGGGCAAACTCAGTAATAGTGGGAAATACTGACCATAATTATTAGCTCTGTATAAATTCTATCTTAGTGCCTAGATGCTACAGTGACTGCCATTTATAATAAAGCCTACAATAGCTATGTGTAAGGAATTCTGTCCCCTGGGCATGTGTTTTGCCAACAGAAGAAATCTCAGCAGTCTTTAGGTTTAAATGATGTGTTGATTCTGTGTAGAGATGAGCTTACTACTTGCTTCTGTGTTAGCTGTCTCTGCTGTGTCTGAGATACCTGTGACCTTCATCTGGAAATACTAGACCAGCTCAATCATCTTATAGGAATAGCAAGAGGAAATCTGCTGCTCACAGTCAATCAAGTATACTCTTGATACAGTAGTACAGCCAGCCTGACCCATTAATTCCATCACATTTTAATAATCTTGCCTAAGTGCCTCCGTTATTTCTAAGGTGTTGTTAGGGTCAATTCCTTTGAGCTGGCTGGAAAGACTCAGTTCACACAGTGACTTTCCAAAATGAAGGACAAATAAGAAAGCCACGTGTGTTTTGTTTGCTTATATCCATGTCAGCAGTTCAAATTATTAATAAGTCATTAAAAGTGCTGTAACTGAGTAAGGGTATTGTAGTTAGCCAAACCACTGTCACTGTTATCAGTAATCTGTGTGCTGGTATTCAAGTCTTAATTTTTTCAAAAAACAGGGTTAGATTATATATAGTCTTTGTAAATCAGAGAAGTTATCTGAATAGATGATATCTTGATATTTTCTAATCAAATGTATGCTACATTAATATATGTATATAAGATAATTTGTGTGACTTAATATACTTGTAGCTAAATGCACCAGTTGGTTTAACTAGAAATTGCTGTTCAAACATAGAAGAGAGTTGTTATACTTGGAAATGGCTGTGAATGAAAAATGGTGGCAGAACTGCTTTTAGGGCTGGCAAAGGGCTGTGAAATGTGCAGGGTCTGATTTCTGTGGAAGATAGTTTTCCTTGACTTCTGTGGTCCATTTGGCTTACTACTCTATTTTGCTTCTGATCCATTTGTTGGAACTGTTGGAAATGAAACAGACTTGATATTTAGTATCTTTGATAGCTTTCAAAATATGCCATAAAATGAAACCTACTGAATTACAGCAGCATAGGATAGCACGATTTTTTTTTCATTTGATGATTTTTTTTTTTTTAGCTGGAGTTCTATTGATGATTGTTAGAACTCTTCATAAAGTGAATTCTGGTATCTTGTGTATTTTCCTGCCTGATTTTCAAGTTGGAGGTAGGAATAGGTATAATCCTGAGTCTGAGATCCCAGATAACAAGACTTTTTCACATCTTCCTCAACACTCCCTTTTCTCAGAGATGGTTTATCTTTACTGGGGAAAGGAGGGGAAGTCTTACTCCTGTTTTGAATTTAAATGCCTTGTGTGCCATTTAATATATTTAAACTGTTGTCAGGGATGTGTGTCTGGATTGTGCAGTGATCATGGACTGGACAACTTCAACTGTTTGGCGGATTAGGAGTCTAATCCCAATTAGATTTGCCATACAATCAATGGGTGGTAATAGGATTAGAACAAGTCTTAGAATTCATCCCATTCTGAGAGAGGATGAATTCTCCTACTTGTCATTCTGAAAAGGACTAGATTTTGTAACAGTCTGAAAACAGTTGTTTTTCAGGTAAAATACAATGATTGTTTGCTGTTACTTCTGAACAAGAAGCTTCAGTTAGGTGAATCTGTAGTTCTGTCACTGTTCAGTTATTTCAGCAGAAACATATGATAACCCAATATATCTATGTATATCTATGCTGTTAATTGCATATGTAAGGAGATGTAAGTATTACTGAAATATCCTTTATTATGAGTTGTCTGCATATAAAACAGCTTTTGGCAAATACACTATAATATCTCTTACCAGCTTTAATTACATTAAAATTCCACTTTATTTTTCACATTTTAAATTATCTAGACTGCATGGGAGGAGACCAGGGCACAAATTGTAAGGATCTATACCTCAGGATGCATTTAAAATAAGAACTATTTATGTGGATCTAATACAATTTTTTTAATAAGCTTTCAGAAACAGAATGAGGAAACAGGGTAAGAACTTAAAATACTAAATGCCACTAACGTTTGGAACAGCAGAATCTTTCTTTGCCAGGGAGAGATTTAATGAGAAGCTTTGGATGATAGCTTCATACCCTGAAATTACTCTGGAAGTCTATAATCTTTCCTGCTTGATGTCATCAAACATGTTCCTCACAGTCTCATCATGCTGCACGACACGTGTAGCTAACACTTCATAGAAAGTCTCTATGTGTCTGATAGGGAAAAACTCACATCTTCACTGGAATGACCAAATGTACCTTGGAACTGAGTGAATTATGTTGTCCAAAGCTAATCTTAGTTGTGATTTAAAAGTTGCAGTTTGGGGGTTTTGGTGGGAGGTTTCTTTGTATGTTTTATTTCCAAGAAACCTGCAGTAAATGGCATTTAAGTTAATATTATTTCTGACATTTAGAGTTCTGCCCTGATTTTGGTTTTGAGTGAGCTAATTCACATAGCAAACCATTCCTTACTATTAATTTGCTATGTTTCAAGACAAATAGATGAACAATGACAAAACTGTAAGCAGTGCAGTAATGCATTGCAGAAGGCATAGAGACTGCTGGTATGTCTAAGTGAATTTTTCATCTATAACCTAATTGGACTACCTTTAAAGTCATTGATTAATAAAATAAAATGTATTGACATTTAACCTCAAAAGCATTGCATATGTCAATGTTTGATACATCTCATTTTCCATGTGTTTGCCAGTAACAAGTGATAAACTCACTTGGTGTTCTTCTGAAATCTGATAAATCTGATCCATCTGACAGCACAGAATAAAGTCTGTTATGTAGTCATTAATAAATGTAAACATTTGAGAAACTTCCATTTGAATCAAGTTATTTCAATACAGGGTTGAGTGTGTTTAGACTTTTGTTGCATTTATACTGAGATAAAACCAGCCATTTACTGACCTTTAATACTCCAAGCTATGAAAATGTTTTTGGAAGTGCATGTAGAGTCTGTACAGAATTGTGCTGCTGTTCTAAGTCACTAAGCTACTAGAAAATTGCTAGTTGTAAAGTAGACTGAATTCTTAGTGCTTATTTTCCATTTAATGTTTTAATGAATAATGTTTCTCACTTAATTTACAGCTTTGACTTTTTGCATCTCCTTTTTTTTTTTCCAGGAGAAAATCAGTCTAGCTTTTGCAAGCATTTGCACTGTAAAATATAAAATGTTCATCACAGTTCCTTTAGGGGAGTTATACTTTTGTCACCAAAGCTACATGCTGCTGTTGTATAACCTCTAGGAAATATGTGACAATGAAGGACAATTCAAAACTAGTCAGGTTTTTATTTTAAAGTACAATTTCTGCCTTTTTTTTTTAAAGCCAGAACTTTGAACTAGAATGTTAGAATCCATAAAGTCTTAAAAAATTTGAAAACCTTTTGCAAAGACTATGCTTTCTGATGTATATTTTTATTTATGGGTGAATGTGTTCAAAGCTTTTAATCAGCTCATCTATCTTCAAACTCAAGTAAAAAGTATACACTTTGTCTTATTAGTAGGCACTGCTGCTTTTAAAAATGAATTTTAAGCATTTAGAGAGAAAATTCCATAGCTTTTACTTAAGCAAATCTGCCCAGCCCTCAATTTTTCAGGTGTCTAAGCACATAACTGCCTCAAATATGTGCTTATTGCCTTGTAGGATGAAAACCTGAACTGTGATATTTTGAATTTATTTTCTTAAGATGTAAGGTTTCTTTCTGCATTTTTAAATGTAGACAGATTTTGCTATTCATGCTGTCATAAACAAACCTTGTAAGCATTGCCTCCCTGCAGTTATTGGCAGCTTCTGCTCTGGATTCTGTAGGAATGTGTGAAGTCAGAGCTGAGTTTGTCTCTAAAAATCATAATATTTGTTATTTGTGGCACATCATTGCAGGTCCTCCTTCCCCATGCAGCTCTCTCTGCTTTGCAGTGTCCCTGGCAGGAAGTGCAGCAGCTGTGTCCTGTAGACTCCTGTTTGTTAAAATATCAGCCAAGTGTTTTCCCCCTCCAACTTCAATAATTTCAGGGCATATCTAAGTATCAAATGTGCAAGTGTGTTGATGTTTATTTTTACAAAAGGCTAAGTGCACTATTTTAGGATCCATTCAGGCTTCAGTATTTTCCACCCACTTCAGTCTGAGTTTGGAGACAGGATTTGAGACTGCAGCACCTGACAGCTGGAACACTTTACAGAAGTCTACAGGTAGTAGACAGGACACATATAATTAGAGTGCCAGACCAAAACTGAAATGTGAAATTTCTCACTGTGACTTTAAACTTGTAGCTTTCTAGAGGGAAAAAAAAAATATATGTACTGTGCCTTAAATCAGTAAATGAATACACTCTTAACTGTAGCCTGTGGACTTCCATAGCCTTATATTTGATTTTTGAAGTTGACCAAAAATATTTGTGTGGATCATACTGAAACTTGATTTGGGGAAAATGCTTAAAAAGTTATTTTGACCCCATTTTACACTTAGAGAAATGAAGATTTATGACAAGTAGAGCATATTTTTTGTTTGGAATCACACCAACCAAAGTCAGAAAGCTTTAGCTGACCTGAATTTTTCAAGCCTTTCTCTTGTTGACCAAAAGAAAACTAAGGAAGGAAAACGAGCTGCAGATATCTGTCTCAGCTTTGAAGTCTGTGTGTCAAATTATTTTTAAGCATTTTGATCTTTAGTCCTCAAAAATAATTTTAAAAATCTCTTAATTTTAGTTTAAGCAAAGTACTGTTTTGAAGCCATTAAATAGCAAAATCTTCACCAGTGTGAGAAGAAAACTAGACTGGGGTGGGGTTGATTGTTTGTGTTAAGGCTCCAGAAGTTTTGAGTACTAAATTTTACTTTTTAGGAAAAATATTCACATATAAATCCCTGAAAGTTCACATGTAGATTCCCTTTTTTGGAGAAAAATTAAAACTACATTTTTTTAATCCTAACTCATTAAAGAAAACTAGAAATACTTAAGATCTTAAAATCTTGTTTAAATATAGCAGAAGGATTTCTTATGTATATTTTTTAATACAAAGAACTCAGGAAAAGCCACTGCTGGCTTTTCTTATTTGTCTCTAGAGGATTCTTTGTGTGTTTTGAACAAATCCCCCAAATTCTGATTTCCCCATCCCATATAGCACTGAACCTTGGAAAGTGGTGCCATCTCAGAGCTTATTGTTGTACTGGGGGTATTTAGACATGCACACAAACAACTAACTGCCTGTCAGCTGGGCACAGAGCTGGTTTGAAGCAATCCACAGCAAAGTTATAAAACATTTCCTTTCATTGAGCTCCAACTTCAGTCTGGGTGCCAATCTTTGTGTCTTCTCCATTGCTTAAACTCATTCCAGTCACCTCACTTCTTATTTTGTGGTGATGTTTCAGCACTCCTGGCCATTGGTGATTTTCTAGCCACTGGAATATTCTAGTATTGAAACCCTTGAGAAGGCAGAATTACCTTTAAGGCCTTTATGTATGATGGTAGCTTGAGGAAAAACTGTTTAACTGGATTTCCCACTGCACTTTTAATTGTTTTTTCAAGCACAAAGACAGAATAATGTTGGCCAAAATACCTGGTTTGGGTGATTAGTGGGGAGGGAAGGATTTGTTGGTTGTGAAAGGACTTAAAACTTTGAAGAAAACATGTAATTTTGGGAAAAATCTTATCACTTCTCAAGCAATCTGTCTTAGAACTTTTTAACTCTTCCTCTGTTTTCAGTTCTTATGTAGCTACCATAAATGTGATGTTGTACAAGAACTCTTAATATTTACAGGTTTTTAGAGATGTTGACAGGGTCTTATCTATACATGTTTGAATAATGCTACAGCAAATTACTGTCCTTACAAAAATGTTTAAAACTAAGTTCTTACAGATCGTGTCATGTATCATAAACTTCAACAAAGTCCTTGCCTTGTGAGATGCTGAGGAAACCTTGGAGAAGAGGCTTTTTCAGATGATGTTGTAATCGCTGAAAGATGAAATCTCATAGTCTTTAAAGACTGCATTTAGATACTTTTTTTCTTGTAGTTGAGGGCAGCTTGATTGGGAGCTGCTCTGGGATGTTCCTATTTTGTTTCGTGGTTTCCCTGGCTGCAGTGTGTACTTCAATTTTTTTTGGTCTCTTTTTTTTTTACCTAAGTGTGCATGATTTAAGTACATTGTGTAGCAAATCCTCTCTAAAGAAACACTTCTGTATATCTTTGTATGGTGTTCCAACGTGCTTGCATTGGTACAAATGGTTGTAACTCACAAGAAGTGCCACTTGCCAGTGCTGCTCTGTGGAGTGCTGTGTTACCTGTATGCTGTTGTACAAACGCTGATGGGAGTTGTGAGCAACGTCTGCCTCTAGTCCTGGCTCAGGTACTCGTGTGGAGCACTTTGGTGCTTTTCCTTCTGACTTGTAAGACTTGGGATTCTAAGCAGAAAATAAAAGTAGTGAACAAAAGCCTTGTGGTTGGAGCAGTGCTTTAACAGGTGCTTCTTTCACACCTCAGTGCAATAAAGATAGTTTGATAGATAAGATAAAGTTTGGCTCGTATCTTAACTCCAACACTTAGGCTTCATGACTGGGAAATGCAATAAAATTCAAAGTGTTTGCTGAATATTACAGTTTATGTAGAGCATCATATGTATACAATTTGTTCTCAGCTAAACTAGTATATTTTAAATTTTTACATTTCAGAGGTGAATTGTGTGGAATTGAGCAAGCAATGCCATCAGCATTTTCATCTTCACAGCAGTTTAATTCAAGCATACATGAACATTACTTTGTGTGCTAGAAAGGCTTTATAATTAGTATAGACACTTAAAAAAAATTTGGTTTACTGAAGATGTTTATCAGGAAAACCTGATGCTTAAATTTGGGTGCATTAAAAAGGCAGCACCCTGGCATCTGACTTTGACAGTTTTTGTTAAACTTAGCTACTGTCCTCAAAACTAAGGATGCAATTTAATTCAGTCAGTGTAAGTATACTAATAGTATTTTAATATGAATGTGTTCTGCTTATATTTGACTTTCCCTGAAGGAAAGAATTGCAATTACTAAAAAAAGACCAACCCACACATTAAAATGAGCTATAGGTCTAAACAGACTTTTTAGCTCCAACAGTTTCTCAGAGCTTTAGCTCAGGAAGCAACAATACAAGTGTGTACAGACTTTTTTTTTTTGACAGCTCACAGAAAATATATGCTAATTGAATCTCTTGCATATCTGAATGCTTCATCAGTCACCCACATTGCCCGAGTTCCTCCAGTAACAAAGCTGATTTCATATTTGCAGATGACTTTGGTAGGTTGTACTAGCTGAATACACTGCATATTCCCAGTTCTTTGTAAAGAAACCAAAGGAATAAATTAATTGAGGGGGAGAAAAGAGGTAGAAGAAAACTGCCAGCTCTTCTGGCTCTTCCCCCCCCCCCCTTCCCAAAGATAAAGAAGGAACTAAAATCTAATCCCAAACTGTAAATCTTGCCTTTTCCCCTTCCTGTCATTTTCTCTACAGAAGCATATTTGTACTTCTAGCTGAAATAAGTACCTACCTAGAAGATCAATAAAGACAGTTCCCTTCTGCTAGGACCTGCCTTTTTCAAGTTATTTTGGTGTTACTGCTTTGTTCTTGATGAGTCCACTATCTGGAAGTTGAGTGTTATGAAACATAATTAATGGGGCTTAATGGATTTTTTTTTGTGTGTGTATGATTTTTTTTTAAATCCAAATATGCTGGATAATAAACAAGCTGGATAAATTTTCTTGAATTTTTATGTGCTACTGTAGTCACAAATATAACACTGCTAGGATTTTGTTTACTGTGTTGCTAATGATGTTTGGATGTCCAAAACTTCACCTTCCTGGAAGGGTGGTTGCAGGTTTTTATGTTGCTTTCAAAATTTAAACCAAAGAAAAATGTAAAGCTTCTAGTCAGACATAAACATCTACACTCTGGAGTAATGTGATGGTCAAATATTTTTAATTTTAGCACGTCTATTTAGGGACATATTTTATTTGATGCTAAATCATGTATCATCTACATAGTGGAGAGAAGAGTGCAGTGAAATAATAAAAAATATGAGCTTTGGTATGAAGAATGCAATGCACTAAGGCCAAGGTAAATTAGCAGAGTCCTCCTTGCAGCCTTTGTCTTAGTTTCTAAGGAGGATATTAACTGCTGATAAAAGCAGGGTAGGAAAGCAATGCTTCCATTGAAATGTTATGATTTTGGATATTGAAGCAGACCTTACTTTTCCCTATCTTTTTCCAGCATCAAGAGAGTGACCCATATCTCATTTACTTGAAAACCATTAGTCACCATTCTAGAGATATGGCTAATTACTTTAAACTAAAAATAGTATTTTGATAAAGCTGTGCCATTTCTCCTGGGAATTGTTTTAAACTTCCTGTATGCCTGCTACCAATTTCTGCAATACGGCTTGGGAGGAATTTGTGCTGCACTGTTCGATAGCAACAGGTCTGAAGAGTATCAAGGATGAAATTCTCAAGGGTCTTTATGTCATGGTTGGAAATGGAATCATTACTGTATTTTTGAGCTCCTGCTAACGTCATTGACACCCACCTACAGTCTACTAGAAATATAAGTGCAGAGATCAGGTTGTTCACAGATTACGAGGAGACCAACCAAGAAGGGGCAAGCCAAAGCCAAATTCCCTGGTAAGCTCTACTTTAAAGAATGTGAGAGGGAGAATTCCTTTTCTCCCCCTGAGTCAAGTTGTGAAATGGATCTCTAGTATGTTAGACCAGGATGTATTAAATGCCATTGCACTTATTATTATATGTAGTAAAATCTAATGTAGTTTTGTAAAACTGAGCTCTCTGGATCTTGAGTTATATTTTTGCATTCTCCTTGGAGCATACAGAGGTCTGGTGCTGCATTAGCCACTGAAAATGGCTTTATGTAATAAATGTAATATTTTGTATTGAGTGTTGTACTGGTCCCTCAGAAGAGAGTCCAATGTCTAGAAATAGCTTTGGAATGGGAAACACTTGTTTAGAATAATGTGTTCTTCCAAGGACCTTAGTACTATGAAAACAAAGAGTTGATAGCACATGGATGTAATCTGCAGAGGGCAGACTTTCCTTGGATTCACATGATTTGTGTGTTCCCATTGACAGCTCTGTGGGATTTAAGGAGTATGTCTGTTTGCCCTTCTTACAGGCAGTCTGTTCATCTCCAGCATGTGGAAAGTGCTGCTCCTGGGTCTGTATGTAGTACTGGCTGTGAGAGGACTGGAAAAGGGTGCTCCTTTCCAACCAGAAGATAAATGGAAGCCTCTTGATAACCCCAGAAACAGAGACCTGGTAAGGAAATGTTTCAAGAAAGAGCGCCGAAGTTCTGTGTGGTTTTGTTTTCCATGAAGAGACTCCTTATTGTCTAAATTTAAAGGCGAGAGGGGCCCATTAGATGTAATGTTAGGAGCTGTGCACTTTGCATGGTCAATAACCATTTCTCAGTCAAGATGTACCCCTTAACTAAAGAGACATCCTCAGAGCACAGCAGTGCATAAAACGTGCTTGTATCTCCATCCAGCAGCTTTCCTTTTTAAAAAATTATTTTGATTATACAACTACTTGTTTTATGAAACAGAAGGGGAATGATTACTGTGTTTCTTTCAAATGTGTGCTCTGATTGCATGTTGTTTCATCTCATGGAAGTACAAATAAGTTTGCATCTGACAGCTAGGAAAATACCACTCAGAGAACGTTTGCACAAAAAGAATTTGTGAAGGAAAAGAATCAGTCTCCCATAGTAATTCCTCAGTGTTTTAAGAAGCTTTAATTTCTCCTTGGAAGTGATTGTAAGGGGACAGTTCAAACCATTTGCCCATTGTTGCTGACTCTTACTGCAATGTTTACAGAAGTGTTTGCTCTCAGCAGAGCTTTGGCTGTGCCTATTTTACAAGGGGTGCAGTTATCTCACAGCCCCTGTGGTTCAGTGGGGAGCATAAATGAGCAGGACACAGTTGCACAAGCCATGGATGGAGTGGGCATGTCTGAAATAGTTTGCCTACACTGTATCAGGTTATGATCAGAATCGAGGATTTCATCCCAGAGAGGAATAAACATGACATCTAATTTGTGTCAGTAGAAATAATTAGTCTCCACGGGCCATGCTCAGTTTATTTTCACATCCACAATCTGTTCAGTTTTTCAGAACGCTCCAGGCTTACTTCTCGGGCAGGGGCCTCGATCTCAGGAAGTTCCCAGCTACTTTCACTGTGAACAATGAGGGACCAAGGCTCTACTCAGATCCTATTGCTTCTGCATTTGCAGATTATGAAGAAAAGAAAAAATCCTTTCAGAACTATTTCAAAGGCTGAACGGTTCTGCTGATGAAGGTAAAATAGGGTGCCTTGTCCTCTGATGTTACGTGTAACCAAGGAAGAGTCTGACAGAAGTATAAAAGCAACTTCTTTCTCAGAACAAATTAAAAATGTAGTATCCTAACCCTTGCCTGAAGTGGGGTTTAAAATTCTTGAGGCAGAGATTCATGAGGTCATTACTACTTAGATAAAATAGCACATGGTCCTTGTGCAGATCTGTACAGACCCTGATTTTTTTTGTTTTCTTTTTTCTCCCCTCCTTCATATGGAGGAGAATTCTGAAGATGTACAGATAATAGAGGATGCAGGTTTTATGAAAGGAATTGAAAAAAGTAAGATTACAAATTGAGATTAATTAATGGTTTCTTGTGATATATGTATGTTAAGAAAATTAATTTTGGCATAAGTCATTGCACTAATAAAGCATACATTATCCTTTACATTCACAGTAAATAGTGTTTTCTGTTGGTTTACAAATAGCTGAGAATTTCAATAAGATTTAAATCAAAGCATTTTGGTGATTTACTCAGTATCTTAAAGTGTTTAATTTGTAATCAATAGTCAGCTTAGGATTTCCAGCTCTGTCATGTTCTTGGTCTGCTTAACACCTTGTCTGTTTATAATCAAAATCAAAGCTTTATTCTTATTATCATGAACCATAATAAAGACTGCACTCAAATTTTAATACTAAATTCTCTTTTTGCTGAGTTATGTAATGAAAAATAGAGGTGCCACAGAATGTGTATTTTGTGCATTAAAAAAATGAAAAGGGAATTCAGAAGGGATGCTCTACTATAAGTCAGCAGTAGTGAGAAAATGACTGGTGGAAGTTTTGTCCTGCATAATTCAGGATGGTCGTGGTAGTTTTTTTCAGTGTTCAGAACTGTTTTGTGGGAACAGAGGTTCAGTCAGTGTTTTCTTGTCTTGGTTTGGATTGCTTATGGATATTTAATGGATAGTTCTGTATTTGTCTCACGTATTTGTATTTTTTTTTCTCTTTAGGCATTAACTTCAGAACTCCATGCCAAGTGGAAACCTTCACAGCAAAATTTTACTGCTTTTGACTTTTTAACTGTTACCTGACAATTCCAAAGTTTCTTCACTGTCACCG